CGACACTGATACTAGGTAGAGAACTATCGGTCCAATCCGGATAAGGATAATGTCGCGGTGGACTCGGTACATTAACAGAAATTTTGCTCTTACGTCGGACATTATCGAATATATTTTGAAATTGTTCATTTATATCGGGAGTTATTAAATCAGTCGATATATTACTTTCTATAAATCTAGGACTATCCTCTATCCCTTGATTATCGTGATTTCTCTTCTTATCGTCCGATGATTGTGACGCTTTCGGAGTTTTCGATATATTTTTTTTATACGATACCCTTTCATTGTCCTTTTCAAGAGAACAACATTGAACATAAGATTTTCTCCCTGGTATAATGGAATCAGGATCAATTGATTGTTGTACACGATTAGATAATTTAGATTTAGAAGTAAACGGATTATCATTATCCTTATTGGTATCACTTTGATCTATAATATATCCTTGATCTCTATAAGATGGCAATAAAATTGATTCTGCTGCAGGTAAACTAATAAATTCCAATTGCATTGAATCCTTATTATTTTTTGATTCATCATTTATCTCTTCCATTTTGTTTTTCACCGTATCATTGTATGCTTCCTTGTATTCGGAAATGGATAGATTTTCTTTCCTAAATCCTTCTTTTTTCGATTCAGTTTTAATTGCACTAGGCTCTATTGTAGATATAGATATATCATGCCAAGATGTAAGGATATTGGAATCGGAGAATGCTGGAGAAAGCGAAGAATGGGCTACTCCACAAGGAATTACTGAACCTTGTAAGTTGGAATTTTCTTCCCTGGTACAGGCCTCTTTGAAACCCATCAAGTGTTCTGCGATTTGACTTTGGAATTCTCTAGAGGAAGAAAAAAAAAAAAATTAAATATCAATTAACATTCGAATTTAATATCAATCATAACGTAATAAGAACAATTTCTTAAAGCGTACTAACATTAATACTAACTTTAAAATATTACGAAATTCGTTAAATTGTGAATCTTTATGAGAAGAAAGAACAGACAATTTGTCCTTTTCAAGCATTAAATATTGCATTTTTAAATGACTTTGTCGTATAAGCTCCATTTGTTCATTAATATTTGTTTTTAATTCTGTTATCACTTTATCTTTACTTTCTATCGTTTTCGACGATTCATTTAATTGTTCCTTTAACTTCAATATCAAAGATTCTAAATCCAATTGTTTATGCTGTGCTAGTTCCAAAAGCTCCGATTGTTTCTTAATATCTCTGAAATAAAATAAGATCAAATGGAAATCTTCAATATTTCTCATAATAATTAAAAACAAAGGAAATTGTATATATTAAAATAATATACCGTTTTAAATAATCTCGTTCTTCACGTAAGGAACATTCAATATTCACACGTTTACTAATTTCTTCTAATTGCGCTGTAGTTACATGGAGTCGTTTATGAAGAGATAATTCTTCTAAATCCTATTACAGAAATTTATCCGTCAACTTGCATGTCGCACACAATTATTATGCTATATGATGCAAGAGACCTACATTGTTCAAAGTATCGATATCAGGGATTGTTTAAAGAATAACATTTGTATTCCTATTAACGTACCATTGTTGACTTTTTAAATTCTGCTGATATTCGAAATAACATTTGTTCCATTTTCATGAGAATTTTACACGATTTCTCATCTTTTATCAAATCTTTTAATTCCTTCATTAAAAATATCAATGTTCTAACAGGATTAAAATCACTAAATTTATCGTCGAAAGAATCAAATATTCTATCACATTGAATTCCTTTGTCAACAACGACAATCGATTTTGTACCACATAATGAAGGAACACCTGATGAAATACCTGTTTGTAAAGATTTTTTCAAATGTTCTTTCAATTTTTTCTGCGTTGAAACTTGCTTCTCCTGCACGTCAATCAATTGTTTATTAACATTCTATAGTAAAAGAATTTTTTCTTTATATTTTATATTTTACTTTATTATAATTATCAAGTAAATTTATATTAACAATTATGTGCAATATTTAAATCCTATTATTAATATTTCTCTACTTACATTACTTTTAATTTTTAATTGCTTTTGAAAATCCAATCGTTGTTTATTATCTTTAGATTCTGATGATATTCTATTTGTATGTTGATTTTTTAATGATAAGTTCTGTAAATGTTCCTTCATAATTGGACGAGTTTGATCCTGAAAGGTCTGACACCATTTCTGTCGAGATCTTTGTCCTTCTTCGGTGTTCTGTTCGCTATTTGGGGTACTGCTAACCATTTTATGATTTCGTTTATGTCCTTTAGTCATTACCTTTACCTCTATTAATGTACCACAATCATCCACCACAAGTTTGCTAGGATGTTCACTTTGATATGTAAGCTATAACGACAAAATTTTACAATTATAAAACTTAATAATTTTCACATTAAAAATGAGTACTAAAATAATTAATACCTGGTTATCATGGCTTAATAAAGGACTCTGAATGTTCTTATTGCTCATTATACTGGAAAAAAGAAAAAAAAAAAAAGATGAAATATAATAAAACAAAAGTAATTATGTGAGATATCAATAAAAAAAAAAAATGTAAATTAAATATGAAATATATTACATGTAATTCTTAACCTAAAAACTTGAGCCTATAATTCATTATTGCCATATATAATTGTAATATATAGTTATTGTTTTTACATTAAAACAATAAATTTTTATAATAACCTAAAAAAAAAAAATATATATATACATATAAACATATTTCTTAACTATGTAAAAGAACGAAATTATTTGGAAAAGATTATTTCATTAAATATTATTTATTTAATTTAAATACTTACCGGACAACGGATATAGATCTGATAACATATTGTCATAATATTAATGTTACATACATAATTCTTGATTCTCAAAAAATCACTTATACAAGAACAATGCCGTACCAGCGAACATTCGATTTCTTATAAAAATGAAACTCTTACAAAATTTACGTATAACTCAGAAATACGCATATACGTCTATGTAATTAAATTTACCCGATTTGGTAATATATCTTATTTATGTTTTTATCGTCAAAATTGTGCGAACGTACATATGTTCGTAATAAACTTCCTATATCTGTTCTTGAAAGCTACCAACATAAAAATTACTAGGGACAACATAGTAACAAAAAGTTATTGATTTTATATTTAAGTATATTAAAGATATATTTTTAAAACATTAAATCTTCTACATATACACATACATATATAAATATATATTTGTAAATTACAAATTTCATTTCCTCGCATTTTGTTCTAAAAAAAAAAAAAGAAATTCTTAATATCTTTTTTATTTTCTTTTTTAAATGCTTCTTTTTTGGAATAATAATGTAACTTCTTATAAGTAATCATAATTAAAATTTATATATTTATACAATTACGTTTAATCATTTATTTATGTAATTATATTTGGTCATTTTATTAATTTATAAATCTCTCAACTTTTTGTTATATGATAGTATTATAAATTATGTTGACCAATGTTCAGTTTTTTCTAAAATTCGGCCCAATTCATTTCTATGTTCACCAAAAATTTCATATAATTTTTCGAAAAATCGTTTTCCATTTTGTTCAATGAACATTTTTCGTCTTCTTACTGCATCTAATTTTTCTTTAACTTCTTCCAATTCAATCGTTATACCTTGTAAATCTGGAATAGATTCTTGATAACTCTGTATTTCGTTTTGCAAGATCTGTATTTGTTCTCGTAATTTACTTTCCTCATTTTTGCAATTATTGATATTAGCTTTTTTCTCTTTAAGCTTATTATGCAAAATTATATTTTGTTCCTGTAAAGTTTTCATTTTTTCTTGTAAAAGTTCTAATTCATTTGTATTAGATTCTATATAAGATTCCAGTTTTGTTAAATTTTTGGTTAATCCATCTTTTAATTCATTCATCAAATTAGCTTTTTCATTTAACTTATCCATAATATATGGATCTAACATATCTTTTTCAGGCATTTTAAGTTCTTCAACGTCTATATTAGTATCACTACCAAAATGCATAAATATTTCTTTGTTGTAAGCTAATACAATTTTGTTTAAACTGTTATTTACAGATGCTATTTTAATATCCAATTTATATATGTCCTTTTGTATATCTTTCAAATGTTCATCAAATTGATGCATATAATTTTGAAGCTCTGAACATTTATTTAATATCGTATCTTTTTCTGTTTTTGACATAGGTTGTTCTTTTACTATAGAAATTAATTCTGTACGTTGTTTGTTCTGTATCTGTATTCGTTCGCACAAATGTTTATTTTGAATGTCTAATTGTTCTGTTTCGATATTAAGATTTTTTATATATTCTTCTTGTGCTTTAATATCACTAGTCTGTTTAGCTGCATCATCTTGAAGAGACATTAAAATATCTTTTAGATTTTCAACTTCCACATTAATATCTTTTGACTTTTGTTCAATCTCTTTTAAGTCATGCTCTTCTCTATTTAAAGTATCAATTGCTTCTGCTAAATCATCTTCAGTAACACCTTGTTGTTTTTCAATTTCTTGCAAATATTCATTGACAATAGCCGCTTCTTCATCAAGTTTTTCATCATTCCAAGCGTTATACATGCTCAGCATAAAAAAGAATGCATTTCTATTATCTTTCATTTGTTGCTCTGTTCCTATAAATGGTAAATTATTTAATTGAAAATTATTATATGCCAAATCTTTTACTTGACAAACTTCCACCAACCAACATAACCAGCCTAAAACATATGGCCAAGAATGTGCAGTATTTGCTGTTTTTAACAATGACTTTGTAATAATACCAGGATAATGCAATTTCTTTGCAATTTTTGGTAATTCTTCTATATAATTGGCAAGTGTTAAAGCTTGTTTAGGATCTATTAATTTTACCAATAAAGCAGAAACTTCAACAAACATTTTCAATGTAATAGGTTTCAAACTACCGCTATTGTTTAACATGGAAGAACATTGAATTTGATGAATATAAGAATCTATCTTATTTAGCATATGTGTTTGATAATTTTTATCTATTAAATGTCGCGTGTCTTTACGAGGTCCTTTGGCACCAACATTACTTGCACGATCACCAGACGGTGTTCTTCGACCAGTTGATAAACCTATTGTATTAAGTCTACGAGCACTGGTTGATGGTGTGACAGGAGTTGTAGGAGGATGAAGTAGACTTTTACCTATGTAATTAATAAGAAGTATAATTTTTTTTTCTTCTTTTTTATAAATATCTACTATATAATAAAAAGTCATTTATTATATGAATTACCATATGAATTATAGACATATAAAATAAAAATATTAATATTAATATTATCATATTTTACCAGTATTCTTTAAATAGGAACGTCCATTATTCGTTGGATCGCACGAAGAACTTCTCATACGAGGTCTGGGAATAAGGGATACATCAGTAGCAGAAAAAGAATTCTTCGTCTTTAACGTTAATGTTCTTCTTGAATCAGTTTTGGTCAAACTTTTATCCCTTTTTTCAATCATGGAAACTCTTACCGGATTTGTAGACGATCTACGTCCAGTTGAATTATTTTGCATTTTTATACGATCTTAATTGTTTATTATTATTATTATTATTATTATTATTATTATTATTATTATTTTATTTCCTCAAATGTTTACTATATATCCAACGGACAACTTTCAAATTTTCAGAGCAACGCAGAACTATTCAAACGATATACCATGTATATGTAAGTTAAGTGATACACACGTATAAAACTACCAACATATAACTTCTACTTTTTTTTTTGTTCTCTCTTTTATCGTGTGGCGTACTTACATGTAACTGATTCATAAAAATGAATACAAAATGCGCGGGAAACTTAGGGAATACTTAAGTAAATTTAACAACTTAATAACTCGCATGTTCTTCGTATAAAATATTAAGATAATAATATAATTTTAAAGAAATTCGTACGAAGATAGAAAATAATTGTTATATTTTCATATATAAATATACAAATACAAAATTTCCCGCTTGTTTCAATATATATATATATTCAATATATTATCAATGGCTAGGTATTTTTCTAAAAAGCAAGATTTTTCGAATCAACTATCAAGGAATTTTTAACTATAAGATTGGAAGCACTGATATATATATATATATATATATGTATGTGTATATATTCTGTCTCACACACTCAACAAACATATATGTATAGAGCATGATATTTTGTAAGTGACGTTACAGTGTAATAAAAAATAATTAACAATTAAAATACGTATTCAGGTATGCCCATTATATTTTTCATTATAGGTATTATGATTTTATTTATATATTAATTGTTTAGTTATCAAAGAAATGTATCGATTAAAAATGGCACTCCCTTATTTTTCATTAATCATTTCCGGTAGTGGAATTCGTTTTTAGTACACGTCAAAGTAGATGCCCTAACGTATAGATCATCATTATCACTTAATTAAATAATACAGTTTCTATCTTTGTCATAGCAAATATATTAAACTTATTTATTGTGAATTAAATATTACATACTTTAACAGAGTGATATCAATAATATTCATTATACTGTTTCACGTGTAGGTGATATAGTATTAATGTATTAATATACAAAAGCATATTATTATTAATGAATAATTTATCAAATTATTTTATAATATATCTTGTCTATCAATATTTTCTTTTAAATTTCAGTATATTTTTTATTGATTTATGCAATGGATTTATAAACAAGTGGATAGATTTATAATAAAATTTATATTTCAATAAAATTTGAATAAAAAAAAAAAAAAATGAACTGAACTTTGGAATACCGTCTTTATTTCAGGAATATGAAATGGCAAAAATCGTAGCATGTGCATCATTACTTTATTTATGCATAATTTGTAATATATTAGATGCCAATGAGCAACATGATAATGATATTAAAGATACAAATACAAAATCAACATACCAAAGTCCGGAACCATCTGGATTTGCTTACTTAGCAGAACATTTTGATGATAGAGAAAGATTTGATACTACTTGGGTATTATCAGAAGCTAAAAAAGATAATATTGATGAAGATATCGCAAAATATGATGGTTTGTATCCTAAAATTAGATAATCCATTATCGATATCTTTTATCCATTGTGACATTTAAATATTAAAATAAAATTATCAATAATAATTAGAGAAAATAAGAAAGTATTATTTTATAGGAATCTGGACTATAGAAGAGCCTAAAAGACCTATACAAGATGGTGATTTAGGTTTAATATTAAAAAGCAAGGCTAGGCATGCTGCTATTTCTACTTTATTAAATACTCCTTTTCATTTCAAAGATAAACCATTGATTGTACAGTATGAAGTTAATTTTCAAGATGGTCAGGAATGTGGTGGTGCATATCTCAAATTATTAACATTAGATTCAAAACACACAGAATTAAAGAATTTTCATGATAAAACACCATATACTATTATGTTTGGACCTGATAAGTGTGGGAATGATCATAAGGTATATATAAATATATATATATACATATATATAAAAAATGTAAATATAAAATTTTATTCCATTTTAATCAATGTTTATAATTCTTTTATTATTAATTTATTTTTATATAGCTACATTTTATTTTCCGCCATAAAAATCCTTTGAATGGTACAATAGAAGAAAAGCATTGTAAAAAACCAAAGGAGAGATTGGAGGATTTCTTCAAAGATAAACAACCACATTTATATACTTTGATAGTTCGTCCTGATAACACATTTGAAATAAAAGTTGACAATAAAATTGTAAATACAGGATCGTTATTAGACGATTTCACTCCTCCTGTTAATCCACCTTTAGAAATAGAAGATCCAAATGATAAACAACCTGATGATTGGGATGATAGAGAAAAGATCTCTGACCCATCAGCGATAAAACCTGATGACTGGGATGAAGATGCTCCAGCCCAGATTGTAGACGAAGAAGATGTTATGCCAGAAGGATGGTTGGAAGATGAGCCACCTATGATACCAAATCCTGATTCTGTAAAACCTGATGATTGGGATATTGATATGGATGGAGAATGGGCACCTCCTGAAATACCCAATCCAAAATGCTCAGATGCTCCAGGTTGTGGCCCTTATAAGCAAAAAATGAAGAAGAATCCACGTTATAAAGGAAAATGGTTACCTCCATTGATTAATAATCCTAATTACAGTGGAAAATGGAAACCTAAACTAATTCATAATCCTAATTACTTCAATGATGAACATCCATTTTTGATGTCATCTATTGTAAGTTATAGATATAAAATATTAAGATAAGATTGTCATAATTTTATAATTTAACTAAAAATTACAGTCTGCTATTGGATTTGAACTTTGGTCCATGTCTCCTGATATTATTTTTGACAATATTCTTATTACTGATAATGAAGATGTTGCAAAAAAATGGTCCGATGAAACGTTTGAAGTGAGACGGGTTAAAATTGCTGAAGAAAGTGTAAGTACTTTTACTAATCACTGTTATTTAATATTTTTAACCTATAATTAATGTTCATGTTTGGTAAGTAAAAATCAACTACTGTCGCAATTTTCGTTTTTCTTACAGTATTTTACGAATATTAGTAATATAAATATTGTGATATTTTTCTGTAATAGTATTTTATACATGTTTTCTTAATTTATATGAAAGTGATAAAAATTAATTATTATCTTCCTCATATAGAAAAAATGAGACTTATGATCTTTTTTACTTGAAATACATACATTATAATATGCAGGAAACATTGTGGGGACGTATGATGCGTTCTATGAACTACAAACCTGGCTGGTGGGCTCTTTATTTTTGTTACTGTATGATACCAATCATAATATATGTTTGGTATTTAATAAAACGTTCACGTGAGGTACTAAATTCACGAGACTTAAAATGCTTGCTTATATAATGTACTGAATTTTTGTAGTAACTTATGAGGCCGCAATTTTTGAAAAATTCAAGCGATACAATAAGATTATAATTGTTAAGTATATTTTATAATGCTTTTTATCCTTCAAAGGCTTTAATAAGCTATAAGTAGTTATTACTTAAAAAAAATTTATTATTGCAGAAATTATTATTGAACCTTTTAACAAATTGTATAGTAATATTATGTGCAAATTTAATTTCACTATTTCTTAAAACATTTCTAAAGTTTATAAAGTACACCTTCGAAATCAAGTAATATTGTTTTTATGTCTACACAGCTACATTTATAAATGTAATCACAAAATTAATTTGCAGTATTTTGTTACTGGTTATTTATAGTGGACTATATGGCGTCAAATTGCAACATTTACTACAGAACATCCTTGGATGTGGGCTGTATATATACTAGGTGCTGGCCTACCTGTACTTCTATTAATTTATTGTTGCTGTTTTAGTAGTCAGGTATAAAACATACTTTCCTTGATAAATTCTATAGTTTATTGCTACTTCTTTTGATGAATTTCCAATGATTAATATTTTAATATATCACAGTCTGTGTTCACATGGTATGTTCAAATTCTATATTAATGTTCAATCACATTTGACCTATATTTAAAGCTATTTAAGCTAGTTAAGCTTATTGCTTGTAAATTACGTGTTTTTATATTATGAATCGCAGCGGTAGTGCTATAATTATAATAATTATGTATTTTATAATATTATGATAATACCAAGTATTAAATTCAAAGTGTTTTCCTGTTTTAAGAAAATTTTTTATGCATTATTTTTAGGAAAAAAATGATGAAAAAGAAGAGGACAAGCAATGTTTAGATATAAATAAAGATTTATTAGATAATGAAGAAGAGGAAGAAACTCAGGAGGCAGCTGTAGAAGAAAATAAAGAAATTGAAAATACAAGTGAAACAGAGGAGATAATAGAATCTAAAACGGCAAGTATATTTATAATAAATTCATTAATATAATTTTATTAAAATGATGAATAATTTGGATTAAGTTATAAGTAGATATTTTAATAATTGACACATATCTTATCTTTCTTCTATAGGATAAATCTAATGGTGATGATGGTCCAAGACGAAGAAAACCAAATAAAGAATGATAAGCATCAAAATAAATATAAGAAAAAATTTATTGTTAAAGTGTTCGTCATACTTTCACATTCCACATTATGCTTGTCATTGTGGATAGTAGTATTATCAATCACTAAATATGCGATGTTTTCATTAGCAATTTGTTCCTCGTTTAGAAATATGCGTGCTTCGATTTTAAGTATAATTTATCATTATACAATATAATTCAGCATAATGTCTTTGTGTACACACACACAGTAAGTATATTTATAATATATTAAAAACTCTACTTATATATATACATATACATATATATATATATATATATATATATATATATATATATATGCATTTCAACATACATATGAGAGATTTTCACATATGTAATAAATATCACTTGGCTATATACTATATTAATTAAATTTTTTAATATATCCGTTTTAAACAATTATTAAACCTTCTTAAAATATTAATAATGCAATCATATTTGTTTCATGATATTATCTATTTATTGCAGTTGACAAAATCATTCTGTATATCAAAAAAAAAAAAAAAAAAAAAAAAAAAAAAAAAAAAAAAAAAAAAAATAAACTTATAACTGCATATAAGCAGTTAAAATAATTAAACTTGATATACAATGTCACGAAGAACTGACTTTGTATTTTTATTACTTATTTTCTGTGCAATTTCATGTACATTACATAAATACTTAAATATATAAATAAAACATATTAGCGTATTAATTTATATTAATAGGTAATATAAAATCATGTAGACTTGAGAATACAAAAAGATTATGAATATATAATTACTGTAAACTTTGATCATTTGATTGATGTAAACAATATAAAATATTAAAAATCTAGTTCACACGTTTTTAGTTTGTTTATCATATAAATAATGAGAAGCAATAATAATATCCAATGAAGCTACCTTTTCATTTTTAAGCATAATTGCTAAAAATTCCTTATTTATGTATGAAGTGTGTTGTGGCATGTAATTTAAGTATCTTCGATATTAATTGAGATATGAAACAATATTTTTAAATCTTTATGTTTCAAAATCGAAATATTCAGTACAAAGTAATTCAACATTCTCAAATAAGAACTTCGTTGAATAATGTGATCGATAATAGAGATAATAGAAACAATATATATATAAATAGAACAATTAACATAATGTATTTAACATATATAATTATAATTAATTAATACAATATTAATTTTATGTGCATTATGTATTATTAAATTGTTATATAAAAATATACACCTTAATTAAATTAAAACAGTCTTAAAGAGAGAGAAAAGAGATGAATTTTGTTTAATATTAAAATATTTTCTTTATTATGGATTTTTATAAAATGTAAGAAAGTAATTGTTAATAAGATAAACAGCTATATATATTATTGCACTAACGTAAAAATACCTTGTGTAATTTGCATATGCAAAGATATATGTAAAAAAAAAAATGTGTTGTAATTATCACAGATAAAGTAAAGATAATGCAATATATATTCAATATTAACTAAAGAAATATAAAATATTATTCTTGTATTTTTTTTTTCTTTTTTTTCTTTTTTTGTACACCTTATTGTATTAAGGATCTCACGAATAATTTTCTTTTATTATTATTAGCACTTTACTTACAATATTATAATATACATTCAATATCATTCTATTTTATATAATAATATTTTTAGTTCATGTATTTATATAATAAAGTTTGAAAAAATTGTCTTAAATGTCACATAGCCTAAATACAAGAAAAAGAATTGCCATTTCTTATATAGATTCTTTTGTAATATTATTACAAATTTGATATTGTCCGAGGCATATTCTATTTTTCATTAACTTTAATAACGAGATCGATATATTCTTAATATGAAATATTATTGTTTTTGATAGAGAGATAGATCATTTTAATAGCGAAAATACAAATTTTGTAATGATCTTAGTTAATTTATAATTATTACAAATAAATATATATTTGAAATCAAATAAATAAAATACCTTTGTAATTTGCAATATAGATGATTTTTATATTTCAACATAACTTTGATATTTCTCTCATATTCTGGATAAATTGAATTTATTTGAGATATTAATAATATAATTATTAATTGTCGATTCTTTTGATGAAATATTTCTTATTTTAATTTTGCAAATTTATGTAAATATGAATTTTGTGATATAATCATGGGCTAATCGAAGAACTACCAGAATTTTGAGAACACGATTTGCAAACAGGTACAGCACGTTGTGATAAATGTCCAGTTAATACATTATGCGAATCTATACATCGTGTACATAATACATCCCCACAAGACCAACAATGATGCTGAAAGTAATAAAGATAATGAATGACCATTCATAATTTTCATTTCTCTCTTGAACCTAATGAATTATTTTATTTGTCAATATATTAGAGATTATTCATTTACTTGGATGCATGCATACCTTCCTATTAAACGCATCGAATGTAGTCGAACAAGTACATTCCTCCATATTTCGAGATGACTTCCATTCTATGGCAACTGTCTTCAATTCATTTTCAATTTGGCTTGCTTGCTCTTTATTTTTCATTTTTTCATCGTTATTCACATTTTCCTTAATAGTTTCGGATAAAGATTCTTTGACATATTTATTATCAAATTTATGTTTACCTTGAATATTTTTTCTTTGTACGTTATTTAACTTTAATAATTGACTCAAAGAATTAATTCTCTGAAAGCGCATAAACGTTCATCATTCATCTTATAAATCTTTTACAATATTATTATATTAAGTTAGAAATAAAAAAAAAAAAAATTATATACTTTTGCAAGAAGTTTAACGTGATCTTCTAAAGAACTACTATGATCATGAATTGTTAATAACATATCTTCATGTGCCTCTCTAGGATGAATACCATTCTCAAATCTAAAATATAATCCTCTCCAAATGCTGTAAACAAATATATATATATACATATATATTTTTTTTTAAGTAAACCTATTTTAATTTATATACACATGTACATATTATGTTCGTCAAGTAAATGCTTATTACATAATATTTTGTGGTGCTAATTTTGGCTGAAGAACATCATTAGAATCATCATTCCAATGTTTACATTCATAAAGCGGATTGATATACTCATTTGTATTATTTGCAATATATCCCCACAAAGAATACGTTCTTTCTGATAATCTATAAATATGAAAATATATGATTTGATCTATATAACATTAGATTCGATAATAATTATTATACCTAAGAGTCTGTCTTTCTTTTTCAGAATTTCCAATAAATGTTCCATACTGACAGCTATGTACATGGTCATGAAGTGTTAAAAGAAAAAATTCATTAAATTGAAATTTATGTGGATATTGCTGTAGTAATTGATAGGTTGCATCTATAAATTGAGTAAATATAGGTGCTAATTCTTTGCCGTCGCTACTAATATAACCACAGCGGTCACTGAATTTATGACCAAATGACAACCAATCTTTTTCTATTAATGCCTGATAAAAAAAGAAAATGAAACAGTTTAAATCAATGTATGATTGATACATATGTGCGTGCGCGCAAACAAACACACACACACACACACACACATACATACATACATATTAATTTTATATAATTTTAAATATTTAAATATTTACCTGAAATCCTTGAATAGTTCTATAATATGGATCTAAGAGTAAAGCAGCCAGAGAACATACTTGCGCTGTACGATCCCAACCATCGCTACAATGTACTACTACACTCACGCCAGTAGAAACTGCTCGTGCAATAAACCAAGCAGTTTCTAATATAGAACGAATGTGCTTTAACCATCCACTACTTTCTAGACCATTTAAAAATGCACTCATAGATGTTGTCCTTTGTACTATATAAACAAGTTTAAACAACATATTAATATTCTTTTGTAATTCAAAGGATGCATAATGTTTTAACTTAATGCATATTCTAACTTACATTCTATAAGCTTGTTCAAACTTGTTCTCATGACATGTATATTTTCAATCCCAAAAAAATGAAACTTTATATTATCATAGAAATTTTCATTTTCATATCCTTTTCCTGCTGCCCGATTTGCAAAAGCATTAATCTATATGAAAAATAGGAACATTTATGGTATAACATGTGAGCTGCATTATGCATTATATAAATGAATAAATGAATAAATAAATAAATAAGTAAATAAATATACACACACGTATGCTTTACTTACACGTGGCCTTGTATCGACAACATACATATATTTTGAATTAGGATTTGTACAAAGTATATAATACATAATTAATTCATCCTCGGGACATCGCGCACTAAATCCTGAAAGTGGTTGACTGCAACGGCAGATAACAGCCTAAAATGCTTTATCTATAAATTTGTTCGAGCTAAAACTAATTAACCATGTATAAAAAACAGATAACAAACCTTATTCGAATGTAAATATGTTAATACAGGAAGCCTTCCCCTACTTCTAAATTTTGCACTACCTAACAAAATGTTGTCTGCACAAGTGCTTGGAACATATATATATTTTGGGTATGTATCACAAAGCTAAACAAAATATTTTTAAAATGTATTTATAATAAACATTGCAACTATTTAAAAATCTATAATATTTCTTATACCTCATAATTAGTATTCAAGTATGAAAGAGACCATTCTTCATTTGGTACTCCTTGCCTTTGAAATTCACTTTGTACATTAAAAAAATTCCAACCAACATGTTGCTGTAATTTTTCTTGATAAGTGAAGCAATAAAGATCTTCTAAATTTACTATAAAAATATTAAAAAATAATTAACTTTAATAATGTATATATAATTAGCTTTAAAGCAGTATATATAGTATATTATATATAGGATGTAGTATATACTATATATTATGTATTATATAGAAAGCAGCAGATAAATTTATATTTAATTTCTGAAAGTGATATATATATTGTTCAAATTTTTCTATCAAACTTATATAAATATAATTTTACCTGGGCAAGACAGTTTTAATAATGTAAGATAAATGTCATGGCAGTCACGTTCCTTAGGTATAACAAAAGTAACAATATAAAAATGTTTACATTTAATATATAAGGGTGATCCTGTAGTAGTTAAAGGTTGTTTTTCTATGTTGGATATATGAGTATACAAGACCTAAAATAATAATTGTTTCTCTATTATTATTATTTTTTTCTTTTTAAAGATAAGATATTTACTTTATAAAATTAAACATGCTAATAAATTATTAAGAAATATTTACCCATATTTTTTTTTTACCATTTCGTTCTATAAATATAAGATTTGTTAAGGTTAAATACAATGTACCTACAGAATGATTATTACTATACTTTTCCAATAAACGGACGTTTTCTACCTACAAATTAAAATGATATTAAATATATAACAACAAAATTGATATTTATATATATATATTATATATATTATATATATATTGATATTATATATATATATACACACACACACACAAACACATATATAATGTACATATAAAAGTACACACATAGATTTTATTTAACATTTTATATATTAGACTGACTTAGTATTTATATTGATTTACCTTTGGAATCTTTATTTGGTCCATTGCATATTACTGTATACAAATATGTTATAATGGATATTTTTATATCCTGACTAGATACTATTTTATTGTACATATAACGATACGTTTTTTAAGAAGTTAGCCAAACAATCATATTTTATAAAATTCAATTATTACACTACAACTATTTACAAAGTTCTAATTTTTATCTAATTGGTATCATAGTCTTTCAGTTAAAAAATATACAACTGACAGATAAAGCACAGATAACTTCACTATCATTCTTTGAGCAGGATTACCAATATATAAAAACAAAACAGAAGTATCCTTCTTAGATTTTTTTCTTGTTACAAAGTTGACCGCTAAATAAGAAATCTTCTTGAAATTTTACTTTATATTTTATTCTATTTTATTAATACTTTTAATAAAAGCGAGTATATATACATATATATGTATATATATACATACGTTTTTATAATACTACCGTATATGTAATAACATTTAAAAATAAATTTTTATTATTTAATTACTATTTTTTATTTTAAATAAAAATATATTTCTTGATGTCATTAAATTATAATAATTATATAAAATCGCTAATCATGAATGTTAAAATTTTATTAAAGTATCAATATATATATATATATTAAACAAAAAATATATATATATACATATTAAACATAAAATATAAAAAGATTTAAAGCTGATCACCACCTTTATAACGAAAATATAAACAATTTCGGCGACAGGTATGGACAAAATATAAACTACAAATATTTTCCAAAAAACTATCCCTACTTGTGTAGGTTATATTTCTATCACGCATAACCAAATAATCGATTTAGTGAGAGAAATTTTTATACGTAGTAAAAATAGTGATACATTTGACAAAAACAAAAACAAAAACAAAAAAAAAACTATATGACGAATTATACTTTTTTGAAGAAAAATTAAACCTGTTCACTACCTTTTGTTCGAAGCGTGTATAATTTCAGCGACAGGTAGGAATAAAATATGAACTACGAATATAAGCGGGGAAGGTTATCCCCACCATTCGTCTATCATATCGGTGTATAAGCTTGTGTTGGTTATTATCCTTCACGTGTAAATAACTATTGGTTTCCTTTCAATTGGAAAAAGTAAACTATGTTAGTAAACTGTGTTAGTAAACTGATATTTTTCAATCTCTGATTATATCTTTCTTTGATGGTAGCATTGATCTCGCAGTGATACGACATTGGTACGCATTTAATTTACGACAAATGCATAAAGAATAATAAATATTATTGATACGTATAATAATTATTATATATATATGTTAATAGAAAGAAATTATCTATGAATTTAATTACTATCTTATTTGTTTATTTATAAAGAAATATTATTGATAATGTAAAAGGGAAATACATTAATGTTTAGTTGAAATTAAATTGTAAAGATATTGGAAATGTTTTCAAATATGCAGCCATTCGCTCGATAGTACTTGCGTTATATGATTTACAATTAAACTTTGCAAGTAATATCGACCCAGATCTCACTACGTGGAAGTTGCTGCATCTGGAGATCCATAGATTAACGATGACTCTATTCTAAAATCCACGTTCGCGAGGTAATCTAATCGAATTTTCGAATAAAAAAAATATTTGTTTATATTACACAAGGCAAACAATTGTCAGATTAAAATTTTGTAATATTAAAAATTTAAATTAAAATTACTTTAAGTTTCTTGCACGCTATAGTCTTTTAAAGTTCAAGCAAATTTACTATTGTTTAAATATTAATTTATTGTACTCTGTATACATTATATATCGTTCAAATAATTATGATATTTATTCGTAAGATCCATTAGCATGAACAAATTTTAAAGATAAAAGTTTAAGCGAAGACATAGATTTTTTGAATTTTGGAAAAAGCTTTATTTTCATGCGTGAATTATTGTCAAAGAAAGCACTATTCTTTGACACGATCTTTTTTTCAGAGAAAATAAAATTTTTTCGTAAGTTCGAAAAAGCCATGTCTACGCTTGAACTTTAATCTTTAAAATGAGACTTTGTTAATCAAAATCATTCAAACATTACACTTGTAATCATTGTTGACGTAAATCATTATAAAACCAAACGCATGATAAACAGCATTAAACTCAAATATTAATATATAAATTTTATAAATATTTTGTTATCTATATCTGTGTAGATACATATATATCTACATAGATTTTTAATAAAATACATATATATCTACATAGATTTTTTAATTAAATGAATATTTATATAAACGAATTAATTGATACGTTGATGCGAAAATTCACGTATATTCCATTATTTCAGTTTACGATACATTTTCTAACAGAGATAGATGATAACATAATATGTATATTATTTTGTATATGTTGTTGTTAATTAGACGTGTTAATTAAATGTGAAAAAATAAACAATATAGATTTTTATAAATAAACATAAAAATGTTTTCTCTTTCGAAGAGAAATATATTCTCTTTGGAGAACACTGTTAGTACTATGCAATAATTAATTTATCGAGATAATTTGATCGGCATAGTGAAAAGTGCACAGAGGAAAAAATTCGAAAAAATGATAATGTGAAGATTATGATATTAAGCAAGATATCGTTGTAACATATTATTACGATTATTCTCCATAACGCTTATCATCCATATTAGTATTAATTTTGGAGAAAAATGATATATCAGTTTGACCATGCCAATTAATAAGGAATGTGGAATGAAGCCCGTTGTGACAATTTCCTTTCCGATAGTTTTTATTGCACTTTGAACATATTCATCTGGTGTTGGTATCATCCAGCCAGCTTTTGGTGAATCCATCGTATGATTGGTTACGGTTCCAGGTAAAAGACATTGTACGATTATACCACGTTTGCCATATTCGATTTGCAAATCTCTGCTGAATTTTAAGACATACGCTTTCGTTGCTGCGAAAACGGTCAATAATGGACATGGCATTAAGGCCACGCTAGATGAGATATTTACTACAACACCTTTACCACGTAATACCATTTGTGGTAATACTATTCGACACATGTTCGTTACAACAACGATATTACAATGTATAATATTCATATAAATTTTATCCTTGTGTGGTAAATCCAGGAAATATTCAGGATGAGGATAGGAAATACCAAGATTATTCACCAATACGCCCACCTCTAAATTTAATATTTCCTTCTCTATAGCACGGTATGTTTCCATTCCCTCAGAAAAATCTAATCTTATTATTTTTGTTCTAACATTGCAAAGAGCTTCAATTTCGTTGGCAAATATTTTCAAACTTTCCGTATCGGGACTTATTAAAACAACATTTAATCCTGCTTTTGCAAGTGCTTCGGCATATGCTTTTCCAATGCCATGTGAACAACCAGTTACCATTCCCCATTTACCCATCGATAATAAATCAATTTTCTTATTATTCGAAAATCTATTGATCAATTTACGTATTATTCCTTGATAGATCTTGTAGCTCCAGTAAAAGATCGCTATATAACCTATTTTTTCTATGATACCCATTATCAATGAGATGTCAGTTAAAGAGCGAAACAACGCATCCGTCCATTCATTTTTCGATGATTTCTAATTTCGGTCATGTCAAAAAACATGTCACCGATTGAAAACGAAAAATCATTTACGAATTTTCAAAATAGATCCTCTAAAAAAACTTCTGAAAAGCTACACTTTTATCGTATTAATTCTATCGTTTCAAGAAGAGACAGTCATTTCATAGAATTGTGAGTTCGCACTGCACCGATGAAATATATACAACATAATGCAATATAATCAAGAATAATTTTATTGGTTATTTTCTATTATATGAAGTCAAATAAAATAAATGAAATATGTAGCGTCGTATAACTTGTTTCGAAAAAAAAAATTAAAAAAAAAAGAAAAGAAAACGAACGATTAATCTACACTTTCACATGACTCTTTCACGACGATAAATTATATATTTGATTCTCGTAACCAATGTTTAAGAGAATCTATTTGTTGGCGTACTGCTAATGTACTGGTACCACCGATAACGTTGTACTGTTCAATGCTTTTTCTAAAATCCCATATACATTCCACGTCCTTCTCAAAAATTTGACTAAAAATTTCAAAAAATTATGTAAGAAAAAAGAAAAAACAAAAAATGTAAATACTCTATATTCAATATGAAATAATTTACCATATTTTTTGTAATTTTTCTAATGGCACTTCGCACAATGATAAACTTTCCGATTCGGCAAAATTTACAACTTTGCCAGCCAAATGATGTGCTTCCCTGAATGGTAACTAAAACGTTCAAAATTTGTCAAAATCATTGATATCATTTATCAAGATCATCCGATTAGATTATTTACTCTCTTTCTTCATTTCTTTTTTTTTTTTTTATATTTTAATCTATGACGTAGATATATAAACGTCCCGTTACTTACTCCTTTCTTCACAAGATAATATGCCAAATCGGTGGAAAGCATATCGGTTGTTAAAGCATCGCTACATTTTTCTTTATTTATTTTTAAAGATTTTAATGCTTTTTCCATGATAAAAAATATATTATTTAAAGTATCGAACGTAGAAAATAATGCTTCCTTGTCTTCTTGAAGATCTTTATTATAAGTTGATGGAATACCTTTGAGAGTTGTCATAAAGCCCATACACTAAAATCATACATCATTAACTATCTTTTCTTATCGTGTATATTATAATTTAAATAAAATAAGATAGGAATATCAATCGAATCGATATTATGCAAAATGACCTTTCCAAGTAAAGTGCCACTTTTTCCACGGATTATCTCCATCAAATCGGGATTACGTTTTTGTGGCATTAAGCTACTACCGGTTGAAAAGTCATCGGAAAATTGTACGAAATCAAATTCATTGGAATTGTAAATGATCAAATCTTCAGCCAATCGACTCAAATGGATCATAGTTAAAGATGACCAGAAAAGAAATTCAGCTATACGTCGAAATATATTTTTAGTCATCAAGACATTATTATTGTTGTACATATATGTAATATATTTGAATACGAACAAAAATCTTACCAACGAAATCTCTATCGGAAACAGCGTACATGCTATTAGAACTAATGTCTTCAAAGCCAAGATTAGCTGCTAAAAATTGTCGATCTATTTCAAATGGATTTCCAGCAATAGCACCACTTCCTAATGGCAATACGTTCACACGTTTACGTATTTCTTGTAATCTTTCGAGATCAGCTTTTGCGTACCAAGCGTAACTGAATTATCATAAAGAATTATTATTATTATTATTATTATTATTATTATTATTATTATTATTATTATTATTATAGATTTTTTTTTAATATATCATTTTTATTTATTAAATTATCTCTAATCAATTTCTTTTAATATTCAAACCTAAGAAGCCAATGTGACCATTTAATCGGTTGTGCACGTTGCATATGGGTATATCCAGGCATAATAACATCGTTATCTTTCTCAGCGCGATCTATAAGTGTCTAAAAACAATTGATTTTCAATTCCAATGATATTCCATTTTAATATCGTTTAGACGAACTAGTATGATAATATCGTTGATAAATTTAATTTTCAAACATAAAATATAAACAAATGGTATATTAGATACCTTGATAAAAATATTAATACTTAAATGAAGTTTGTCTATCGACTTTCGAAGATATAGTCGAGTATCTGTTATTGTTTGATCGTTGCGACTTCTACCAGTATGCAATTTCTTTGCTACGTCACCAATTAATTCCTGTGATAAAAAATATTGATCGATTTATCGACCGTATCAAACCATAGTTTTAATAATAATCTCTTTGTTAATTATCCGATAAAATTTTACCGATAATCTCCGCTCATTTGCACTATGAATGTCTTCGTCTTGATGAGTGATAACAAAGAGATTGTTCCTCCATTCGGCCAAGATCTATTAACATTGTTTTATTTCTTTATTTAATTATTTATTTATTTTTTAATCAATTTAAAAGGATTTCTAATACTTTCGTTCTTTTTTTTTTTTTTTTTTTTTTTTTTTTTAACATTAAACCTTTTCAAAACCATTCTCGATAAGGTGTACTTCTTCTTCCGTTAAAAATCCAGCTTTACATAGTGCATTTGCATAAGCGATACTTCCCTGAAGATATAAGTATTGCAGTATTATATATAGATGGATCATTTATTTTCCTCATTATCATTTTCCTTACCTCTATATCTTCTGCATATAACCGTTTATCAAGTTTTATGGATGCATTTAGGTCATGGAAATCAGGATCGATTTCCTTTGTAAAACGACCACCCCATAATTTTGGATTATTCTGTTTATGTTTATGTGAATTAAAAAATTGCCATTATACTATTAATATTATTAATATTATTATTATTATCATTAGTAAAATTAAATATTTCTTGTTTATTTTTGTTAACACTCACTAATATATTAATGGTAATGAAAAATTTATAAAAAATAATTCTTACCCGTGCCGACATGGTGAAATTATAAATTCCGACTGATACGCAAGCATACAATTCGATGTTTTTTATCGAATGCCTTTTAATATCATTTATTACGCAAGTTTCACATAGCGTATCATAAAAGTGTAGCATTATCATTAAGAGATAAGCATTGATGCTGGTAAATTAAACGAATGTATGAATATCTAAATATATGAATAGCGAATTAAAAATGTTAAATGTATGTATGATATACATATTTCAATATAATATGTAAATACATATATAAAAAATACATATTTCTTATCTTTGAAGGAACTAAAAACGAAACTTAAACAGGAACTAATGTATCATGTATAGGTATATTAGTGTATCTTTGTATTTCCTTTCTCTAATATACGTCATACTTGTGGTTTCATTTTTCCCGGTTTTTAATGAAGCTATCAAAACTGATAAAGCATAACCGTCAACATACATGTTTCCTGTCATATCCTACCTGATTCCTTTCTATAAAATAATACTAACAGTTTAACTTTGACTAGAGTGTTGTGTGCATTACAAGTCGTTCGGTACAATGATTAGTGAAATTTGTTTTGTAAATATTATCTTTACAATATACGGAGTATATTATAATGTCCTAGAGGGTTGATATAAACTAAGGAATCAATCTGACGATAAAGATAGAGTATGTGTCTTTTATCCTTATCGATAGAATTTATAAAATTGTTAATTAATATAAATTCATTATATATTTGTTGTACACACACACATATATATATATATATATATATATATATATATGTATACTCGAAAAATACAGGTCAACTCGATGTATTCTCTTGACAGAAAGTTAAGAAAGGACGTTGGGTAATTGTCACATGCACTGTAAAAGACGAACGAATATAAATCGTTAATATATACTCGTGAGCTTATCTAAATATTCATCGACAAAGCTCCGCAGTAATCTTGATCGATCCGTTCGCGAACATTTTCTTTTCTTCTTACCTACTTGCTCGTTCGGTCGTTCGTTCTCTCCTAATAATAACAAGTTTTCTTTTCGATAAAATTTTCAAACAAATTTGTTAAACGATTGATCGATCATACGAAGGACAACATGGAGGAACCTCGCTTGGATAATGATAAAGTGGAATTAAATAATAAAGGATTAGACGATAAGACGAATGATGTTGAAAAAATTGTTATATCAAAGGATGTTGTGTCCGTTGATATGACGGACAAAAGATCGCAAGCTCACAACACACGAGCTGTTAATACTTTTGCAGCGAAGAAAACTGTAGCCCAAGGTATGATGGATGTAGCATTGATTACAGCTAATGCTAATCAGTTAAGGTACCTTATTGAATATCAACGAAATAGTCCTACCTTTTACGTTATTCTGATCCTCATTGTCATCAGTCTTTTGCTACAGGTATGACGTCTTTTTTTTCTTTTTCATATACGCTTATATATATATATATATATATATATATATATACACATACACAATAACGACAAGCTATACATTATTATGAAATTTTTAGCGAAATCAGAACGGCGCGATTAAACGAGTTTTTCTTTGTTATTATTCTTTTAGATCGCCGTTGGTGTAAGTTTAATTTTTAAAGGCAGATTCGATATGAAAGGACAATCAAAGTCACTTAATGCACGAAAAATTAATAATTACGTTGTTGTCGGTGTATTTCTTATAACTATTATTAACGTTTTTGTCGCTGCATTTAGTGTAACTACACCGGCTACAACCGATATTACATCTACGTCTAGGTCTACGTAGATATTACGCATGCAATAATGTTCATTTTCAACATTACAAAAAAGATTTTCCCATAATAATTTTATTATTAATTTATACCCTGTTTGTGTGTAACAATAATTTGCAAATAATATGAATGCATTAGAAACAGTATTTACATATTGTTTTTTTTTTTTTTTTAATATCGCTCGAGTCTCGTATTTATAACTATTAATAATTGATTATTAATAGTTTTTCGATTATTTCGTGAATTAAAACTTATACTTATGTAACAAATATTTTTCAACGTTTCTTTGTTTATGTATTATCAACAATTATATTAATATGATCGTATAGAGTATTGGCTATTGCAAAAAAAAATTATTCTAACTTTTAACATTATATTTATTCATTCAAGATATAACAGTAAAACGAATAATTTATTTTCATTTACGTGTCATTCGTACGTCATTTTTTTCTTTTTTTTTTCTTTTAAGAGTGCGACTAATCTATTTCATGAACAATATCATTGAAATTAACTACAAAGATAAATAACAATATCGCTTATCTAATACTTTTCCTCTTTCAAAAGAATTTTTTAGGCATGTATTGTCTATTAATGATAAAATATTAAAAATGATTTTTCACAGTAATATATATATATATATAAAAGAAATACAGAACATTTTTGTAAACACGAAACAACAAATATGTCTTAATGTATTTATTATTTTATATCCAGCTTTAAATATGAGATACTAAAAATACAAATATATATTTCATTGTTGAAGAATAATTCATAAATATAATTGTATATTCATATTATGTAATCATAATAACTTTTTAATGAGAAGATTCATTCTATTAAAATATATTTTGTCGTAATGCGACGAAAGGATTATTTTAAATGTAAAAAAAAAAAAAAAAAAAAAAAAAATCCTTTTTTCGTATTAATTAATAATATTAAAAAAAGAAAAGAAAAAAAACAGAAAAAGAAAAAGATTGTACCTTCAGAGCTTTGTCGCGTGTCAACATTACATTACTGTTGATTACATTGCGCTTATAGTTAAATTATATTATTTTAATATAATATTGAATAATATTAAATGTACATTATTTTCAATACTAAAAAAGCAAATATATGAAATAATTAATTTTGCATATAGAAGATATATTTTTTACTAAATTATTTGTAACATCTAATACGTATTTATGTGAGGAATTATATAAATACATAATATATATATATAATATTATGTCTTTTTGTATATCATTTCCTTTATCATTTTTGGAAAATACATAATCTAATAAGTTCAATAAATGTGGTAATGAATTCTCTATTTCTTTCTTTTTCTATTCCCTCGTATCATTTTCTCGCAATAATACAAATTTCACAATAATCGTTACACTGGTTCATGTTGCAATCTTTAATAACGATATATTCGATTAAATACTTTTGATTTAAGGCATAATTACAGTTTAATTCCATATCGTCATTGATATGTTAAGTCATAAATATTATTAAAAATAAAAGTTATATATTGTTACTAAACCATCGCTTAATTTTATAATACTATTGCTACGAAATAAATAATCTAGAATTTTCAAATTTGATGATATTTGTACAATCTCCTGCAAAAATTTGTGATAGTATGAAGCTTGACATTTCAGAAAATTTTTAAATGAATGTGCCATCGACGAACAATTCCTTTTGTCTTCATTTTTTTTACCACGTTAAAAAAAAAAAAAAAAAAAAAAAAAAAAAAAATATATGTATATATAAGAAAAAAAACTGCATATTTACATAGTCTTTATATTAATTACTATCAGTATCTATACATGTGACTTTTATGTGCGCAAGTGAAATCTTTCTGAAACACATAACCTTATTTATTTCATTTATTAAAGAACGTTTAGTAAAACATTATTTATAATACACTTACATTGTACTAACAAGTAGTATATTTTTTTTTTCTATTCATGCATATGACAATATTTTTAGATAACACCGGGATTTAGCCAGAAAGTGTAAACAAAAGAAAAAGAAAATACATTATATATCTCATATTCGCATAATATATAATAAAATACAATAATCAGTAACAGATTGTTTCATTTCTGACTAGGATTTCTCCGTAGTAGTAAAGCATACCTTCTGCTTCGTATCATCCTGTTGACCATATTTCATTAGTATTAGATGTCCATGGTTATTAAACCTAAGTCATGTACGCAAAATATTGTATAGTTATAGTATTGTTATAAGCAGGTATATATCCTAAGATTCTTTCACAAGCTTGATACTATATCTTTGTAATTATATGAAAATCATTTAATGGAACAATAGCTTCTTTCATTTCGTTATTTCAAATTTTTTTTTTTAATTTTTATATCTTCGCATGCATATGTTAGCACGCATATACATCAGTAATTTATTTCTATATTAATGTACAAATATATCAAAAGATCTCAACTATGTAGTTCCATAAATATGGAATTAATGCTATAAAAATTAGGAAGGGCAAATTAAGGCTTTTAGGCTTTTTAGAATGAATTTAGAAATGATAATATAGGGAATTTATAAAGGAATAAGAATAGAAAATTTGTATTCCTAAATTGAATGAAAAATTATTATTTGAAATAATATATTTTCAAGTAAAAAAATTACTATTAACATTTATTGATTGTTCTTTTTTTTATGATAATCATTTTCATTTTGTTTCTTCTGAAGTTACAGAAGATATGAAATCTTTTATTGATGACTGGATAAATTTTTATCATAGTATATATGTACGTATATATATATAGGATAGAAAAGGAATATATAAGAATGCATGCTAACATCAAAAAAGTGTGTGTATGCAGTCATATATAAACTTTGTACTAACTTTCAACAACAAGAGATAAAAGAGAGATAAACGAGATTTAGGCATGATTGCCATGTCAAAACAAATATAATAATAGCGGTTTTCTTATCATGAATACCATTTCCTGTTTATCGTTATTTTATATCACATGTGCTCACTATTTCCCTATTTTGATAACACTTCATTCTTATTGCTCATAACTGAATAAACCAATTATTTTAAAGATAACATCTAAAATCAGCCTGCCCTTACCTGCCCTATCCATATAAACCAAATTGTGCCTTTATATATTCTAATATATACTCAAAAGGCTCCTGTTTTTAAACATCTGATTTTTCTTCTTTGGATGTTCAAAGTAAAAGTCACTTATGATACACATTTACATAATTCCTAGTCTCCTAAATGTTAATCAATAGTATATTTATCACAGTAGTATATTATTGTATCTTCTCAGTAAAACGACTTTTGTCTGAAATATATGGTATCTATATTAAATTATATTATTCAATAATACACCAAGAACAATTGCAAATATTTGCATCACATCTAAATATGTTTTATTTGTATTCTGTAATTTACCTGACTTAATCATCCCAGTCATCATCTTCACTCGTGTCGCTAGTTGATTCATCACTTTCACTGTGAATTGCACGAGATCGTTCTGCCAAAGCTCTGGTGAGTGCACTAGCTAAGCTAGTACCTTGACAAGCTGGTGGAGGAGTAGATTTAACTTCGTTAGGAACAGGCCTTAATTCTATTCCTTGACGAATTTGTTCTAATAAATCACTTCTGGAATCATTGACTGGAGGTGGTTTTGTTTCTGTTTTACTAACTTTCTGCAAAGAATTCAACATACTTCTTCTTAAGGACATATCTTTCAATTTTACAAAAAGATAATACATAACATACATCCCTATTGTTTCTAAATGTACAAACTTGAAAGAATTAAGAAATTGTACTTACTCTCAATGTAGTACCGCCGCTTCTGATAGACTCCATTAGCATTGGCCTGAGATCAGTGATCTCCTCGTTGTTGTTATTTGTGGCATTTGCATTGACCTTTGCAATATCCATATCAATACTGTTAGGCAGTGGTGGTGGAGGTGGAACTGGACCACTTGAGATATTTCTTGATGGAGGTGTTGGGGCAGATGAAGGTGGAGGTGGAGGTGGTGGAGGTGGTAGGGAAGGTGCTGGAGTAACAGAGGGCGGTGGTGGACGTGACGGTGCTGATCTATGTACTGGTGGGGCAGTAGATGATGTATTTGGAGATGTAATTGGAGTATTGAACCGAGTCGGAGGTAATGGTGGAGCACTCCTTGTCTAATGCGAAAAAAATTATAATTTTTCATTAAATGTAAAAACATTGAAATATGCAAAAAAATTAATTGCATTACTAACTGTTATCGTTCTAGCTGGTACCGGTGGAGGATATTCTTGACGTTGTGGTAATACAGGAGGTTGGTTGGTATTTCTTGATTTAGTTGATGGTAAAACAACTTCTTTAACAGCATTCATCCCACCATGTGACTCAATAAAGTTATAAATAAACTCACGCGTTTCTTGATCTCTCAGTTGGTGCTCAGAAACACCTACCATATCAAAAAACTTTTTTAACTCTGGATTAACTGCATCAAATTCTAGACCTTTATTTTCAGCATTCCATCCCATATGCACTATGTGTCTGCAAAATGAGTATTGAATATTATATAAAAAATTAGAAAAATATCTAATAAGGTACAACAAATTTTTAAATGTCAACTTATGTATTCTATGCATTATCAAATATAAAATAAATTATAATATATTAAAAATTTAACCTAAAATTAGATGGTAGGCTTATATCGTCCTTAGTCAATTTTCTTCTTGAATCTTTGTCACCTTTCTTCTTTTTACTTTTATACATAGAACTACTAGAAGCACTTCTATTAACACCAACTGTAGTTTGCCCATTTAATGTATTCGATGTAGCACCGGTTGTAAATGCAAATGATGATGTGCTACTTCTACTTTTTCGCGGTAAGGTTACTAACTGCTGTGTTTCCATTTCCATCTTTGATCGTTTCTCTTGTCTTTTCTGTCGTTTAGCATTCAATTTATCAAGAAGAATATCTCTTAAAATAAAACCATAGTTTTTATCATTGGACAAATGAATTAACAATTTTGCAATATAGATAATATAAAATCATAAATGGTATATATCTACCTTAATGTGATAGCTTCGACTTCATTTGCAAAATTGAATGCTGCCATGCATTCTTCAGCTTCAAATGTATGAAAATAAACTAAGGGTGTTTTATAATCCATAGAATTATAAACTTCGTGTTCCCACAACATGGCTCTTCTTTGTAAACAATATAATCGCAAGAAAAAACTACGTCTTGGATTATCTCTGATTAGAGTTATTATACCAGTATTCTTTTTTACCCATTCTTTATGAAATGGTGGTTCAGTTAAGTATAACTGTATAATTCCTGCTGCCAAGCACTAAAACGTCAAAGAAATATACATGTTCTCAATTTAACAGATTTCACTAAGTAAAATGATATGTATCATAATAAGAGTAATATAATATCTAAAAAAAAATTTATTTCTACGGCGCTAATAACTTTTGTCATTTGTTAATCAAATTAAAATTATATGATAAGGGTGGGGCGGCAAATGAAGTGTTTTTATTCAATATAATTATACAAGCTTACACCTGATCGCAATAAAATACGTAATGTACGTAATTCATTTCTAAATTATATACTATATCAAAATTGTTCAATTATAAGAATTCATTTAGTTATAAAAACTATAACAAATCGAAAGAAATATAAAATGTTGGATGGCGTGACTTTACCGATCATGTAATTATATAGGTCAAAGAAAAGAATACAATGAGAATGACAGTATTAGTTTTAATAAAAATAATTAAAAATTATTAAGAGCCTACTCACCTGACATCGATTTCCTATTAATTGAAAGACTTGCTCGTTCTCTTCTGTTTTCAACAGTATAGATCCCGTATTCTTATCCGTTGTACCCGATTTCATTGTTAAATAGGTTAGGTTTCTCGGAATAAAACGTGTTATTACACCTTATTTCACATGAAAAGATTTTTGTATAAAGAAAATTAAGGTTACAATTATGTATCGATAATTTTTTACATGCCGTGTATTATGTTAACGAAATTAAATAATCCTGATAGATCAATCAATATGTATTCTTGAATTTCATCTTTCACGACACAGTATTGATAACGTAGCCACTAATTACAATGTTAAAAGAAACGATCAAATATTACCTACAAAAAGCTTTATCTGTGACATTTTCCCATGTTCTTAACTCACAGGAAACTCAAATATTTGATGATGACATTTTCACTTATCCGGTTCAACGTTCCGCGTTTCCTTATTCTGTATATAATTTAAGAGGAAACAGGACCTCAAGCCAAACTCCATCTGATCAAAGCGCCACCTAGTAATAAAATTTTGAAGTATTGCCATTTACAGCGGAACATACGAACGATGCGGATTGTATCGGAAGTAAATAAAATATTGTTTTAAAAATAAATAATTGTTTTGAATTTCGAATATTTTCGCAAATGCAGAATTCGAAATAATTGCAAAATATATTATATATAGAATCATTTATTTATAAAAAAAAAAAAAAAAAAAAAAAAAAATAGTAAAAAAAGATCTTATCTAAGATTTTGATCTTAATTTATTTACATAATTTATTTAACATCTTTTTTATACAATATCATTTCATATTTTGAACATTCTGTCGTTGTGCATCATATTCTATTGCCATTTACTTTTTGATTGAGCAAATTTCTATGCCCGACACAGATCAACTTTTCCGTAAAGCACTTCTTCCTACAGCATTGGCGACATAACTTGTGATCACATTTAAAGCCCTTGATAAAGACAGAAAATTATAATTAATATACATGTAGTTTATAAATAACTTTGATTTAAAAAAAAAAAAAAAGAAAAAAATACACGACATACTAACCACAGGATTTGGGCAACCCTGGCAAAGAGTAGTTGACCTATACGGACGCAGCGTTATTCGTCGTAACTTTTTGAAATGTTTATGAGATATTTGATTTCCTTCCTCATCTTCATATTTTCTTTTCACAGATACATTTTTCTACAATGCGTTCATAATATTCGATTATCATTAAAAAACCAAAAATGCGATAAAAAAGATAAGCCAATAATGAAAAATTCTTATGAACGACATAAAACTGACCATTTCCATTTTCTTTGCCTCTATTTTGTCTATATGTTCCTGCGGTGAATCACGTACATAGGACTGGCATAACCACGGGGGTAAGTTCAAGTTGTAATCTAAAAAGCAAAGAAAAGAACAAAAAAAAAAAAATAAAGGATTACGTAGAAATTATTCTAAAGGGATTAGGATAAAAATTATGAATAAAACGATCTAATAAATTTACCACTTTTTTCTTCGTACCACAATCGATTGCCCTCGTGATACGGCTGATACCGATCCCTTAAATTTTCGACAACTCGTCTGAACGATTCCATAGTGGAATTCGTAGCCAGGTTATCCCTTTCCTCTTTGTTTTCTGCTAAACAAAGTCTACTCTCTAGTTAAGTGCATGCTGCACGCGCATTTTCAAATTCATATTCATTTAATGTTATGTATCATTATGTATGATGATAAAATAGAAATTCTGCAGATGATATTAAAAATGAGATTAAAAATACGAATGTAAAGCCGATACGTACATGCGTTGGAATAGTTTGAACAAATGGCCTCGTATGTAAGAAGCTGGTGCTGGATAGATTTCTACGAGGTCTAAATATTCCAAGGCTGGTTCCCAACAAGGTGGATAACAAGATTCGAATATACATGGATTGTAAAGATTGCCTACCGCTGTCATAACTCCTTGAACACCGGTTTCCAAAATACATCTATCGATATCTTGTAGACATTGTATATTGCCGTTTGCCAATACTGGGATTTTAACAGCTTCTCTACGGGGAAAAAAAGAAAAAAAGAAAGAAGGGAAAGTGTTATAAGAGTAATACATTCGTTAATTTTTTTATTAAAAAAAAGACGTAATACCTAACGGCTTTAATGTGACTCCAAGATGCTAATCCCGTTAAAGGACCCTTTTGATCCCTCGTACGACCATGTACAGTGAGCAAACTAGCACCAGCATTTTCGAGCATTCGAGCATATTCAATCGTCTTATCTATATCTGGAAATACTCGTAGCTTGCAAGTAAGGGGTATGCGAAGTCCCGTGCTCACCGTATTGACTGTAAATTATCGATAATGCCATAACGGTTCATTTGATTTTTATAACATAAAATGAATATATTGGGTTGGCAACTAAGTGATTGCGGATTTTGTCGATAAATGGACTTTACACTTTCCGCAATCACTTAGTTGCCAACTCAATAAATATATAAATCTATCGGTGAATCATTATTTTTTCTTTTTTTTGATAACACATATACGAATACACACAAACATACAAACGCACACACACACACCGATCGCTCGAAGAAGATCCCAGTCGTCCTGTAAGAAAGCACCGTAGCGTCCACGCTTTGCAATTGCTTGGGGACAACCAATATTAATATCTATGGCATCGCAATAAGGTTCTGCCAAAAGCGCTGCTTCCAGCAAAGTGTTTGGATCGTTGCCACAGAACTGAAGGAAAATAAAAAGAGGATATATTAACAAAACGATGAAAATAATACTTCATAATGTTTGGTATGATTTAGTCAATTAAAAAAAAAAAAAAAAAATTAAAAAAAAAATTCAGCTAACCTGTACAACCAAGGGTCGATCCTCCGGTATACTGATAAGGGCTTCTTTCCTATATTTTGGATCTCTTAAAAAAACCGAAGAATGTAGCATGGGCGTATAACATAGTTGCGCACCGTGACGTCGAGAAAGTAGTCTCCATGCCAACTCGCTTGCATCGACCATCGGTGCAACAACATATCTCGGTGAGCCAAGGACATCCTTCCAAACGTTTATCTTCTCGGACTTTGACGAACTTTCATCGTTCTCGTTCATATTTATTGTCTGAAAAAAGGAGAAAAGAAAATAAAAAAAATCAAAAATTATATATATATCGATTGTGCACGATAAATAAGGCAACAGTTTTTTATTCTCCTTTTTATTTTTTATTTATCTTTTTATTATTATTATTATTATTATTATTATTTTATTGTTATTATCATCTTTTTTCTTGCTTTTGTTTGAGTATTTAAAGCTTACCGAAATTTAGATCATGTGTGCTGCTTTATAACCGATATTCTATAGAGCCTTGTAGGAAGGGCAATAAACGGGCACACCGTCAAAAGTTTGCGTGTCGTAGAACGATAATGTTGCGCTTGACTATTCGTTTTAATACATGTTCCCGGAAGGAGGAACCTTAGCAAGGATATAATATTTTCATTGATGGTAATCGGACAAGTTTATGTCTTTCTACTTTTTCTCTATCATCTTCTTCTTTTTTTTTTTCTGCTAGCATGTACCAGCCTGTGCCATTTTCTATATCAAAATATTATCTAAACGTCGAACAGTAATGTTCTGTGAGATAGATAGATCGATTGATCGATCAATCGATTGATCGATCATTGTCGCGCGTTCGTTGCAAAATGTTGAACCTTAACCTCTTTGAGATTGAAAAAACGTGTCGAAAAATATTGAACTTTTACGGCGGTGAAAATTTATTGTGAAAGGCGCGTTATATTTGAATTTTACGCAAAGTATTATTATTTTAACGTTATTTTAGAAATTCGTAAAAAATGGAAATATAAAATTGAAATAGCCTTGGATTATGTTTTAACGACGAGAAAATTGCTTAACGATTTATATATGATTTTCGTTAATTTTACGATATTTATAATTTTATATCAAATTCATGTAATTTTTGAAAATATATATATATATATATATATACACATATGTGTGTATACGTATGTATATCATATACTATGCAAATAGAAATACAAAAAGCACGTTTACATATTCGAAACTTTTCATTCGAGTAAGATCACAGTCGTATCGTAACCTTTAGCCGATTTTCTACGTTTCTATTTAAAATACGAAGATATTAAAATCATACTAAATCGTACTAAAATCTCGATTATTTTACACTAGATTAATATGATTTTACAAATTTCAAAATATTATCCCTACGTATTCATCAATAATCTATATCATGAAATAGATATATCGCTCGTATTAATTATATTTAAAATATCTAACTTATAGTTTTTTTTCTTTTCTTTTCTTTTTCCTTTTTTTTTTTCCTAAAACCTAATTTCTGTGTTGGTACGATTACAATAACAAAAAAAAAAATGTCGCATCTGGCAACCCTGACGCATGCAACCCTAACACAACCAATAGCGATCGGTGATCTTACTCTTTTTATTTAAACAAGCTTTTCACATTGGACGATAAAGTTGAAAATAAATAAATAAATAATAAATCAGAATCACTCGGGAATATTCGATTTTACGCGTTGATAAGTCGAGAACGAATATTCCGTTTTCCACGTGGTGGAAACGAAGACTCTCGGTGGTGTTATATATGTAGACACGACGCTTGTACGTGTATCATCGAAGAATCCTAAAGCGTGTGTGGTTTGCTTCGTAGCAGATCGATTTACGAAGAAAAGCAGAAAAATTTCTCTGCGATTGTTTCTCCAAAGAAATTCCCATAAGAAAATTTGAGTTTCTTTCGAGTACGATATTACGTTATCCGTCCATCATCAAGCTTTTCAAATAACAGATAACAATGGCTTCGCCATCGAGTACGCGGGTTCTATGTAGATATAGAGAAGTATTACAAAAGTCGCGTTTCTCTGCTGCTACAAACGCGAAAGCGTAATTTTTTTCAGATTTATTTCTCTCTCTCTCTCTCTCTCTCTCTCTCTCTCTCTCTCTCTCTCTCTCTCGCTCTCTCTCTCTCTCTCTTGCTTTCTTTTTTTTCCTTTTTTTTTTTTTATCACGATTTATGTATACGTCGATCAATCTTGTAACGGCGGAAAGGCAAAGTGATTTGATTGAGGTGGAGAACGCGGAGAAGCTGGTTTTGAGAATTCCGATTCTGGAATGGGTGATAATTGAGCAGATTGAGCAAGCCGAGGACCCATTTTGAATCTTGGCCTTTTCCGAAGGGAAGATCTTCGAGCTCGAAGATGAGATTGATGATTATTCCTCTTGGAGATAGATGATATCGTTCTTATAGGCGGTGGTATTACCGTTGGCGATGTTACAATCGCCGTAACTGTTGAAGGAGGCACGGGTATCAGATCAGGACCGATTTCATCGGTGACGATCTCGTCGATCGACGAAATTCTGGCTGTTCTTAGATCCAAAGGTGGTAATTTATTGGACGGACG